CTTTGCACATTGAAGTCGAAGAAAATCGTTTCCTTCGCAGAACTCTTTCCAATCGGAACATCGTGAGTCGCTGAAGATGTTTCTACAGGGCTTGACTTTTGCTGTCTCATTAAATATGTCGTGAAGAACTAAAGATAAATTACAAAGTAAAATTGTAATTGAAGTATCCTTGAAGTGTGCATATTAGTCATGGAACACGTAGCGAAAAAGGAAAGTTTACTGACATGTGAAAAGGAGAACTTTTCTAAATTCGCCTTCATTCAACTAATCTGGACTGCAGCATACTCCTTCTGTTGTAGGATTGTAACGTCACAAAGCCATCGTCTTACCTTTTTGAGACCGAATGTGATGACAGTTTAGAAGAATCATGAGAAACAAATGATAAACTTGAGATTCCATGACGATGTTCATCTCCCACTCAACAAGAATTGTCACAGTAACACTTTCAAATAATTGTCTACAAATGGAAATTGTGATTCTGTCGCCTATGTAATAATAACTTTTTTTGGCTATGGGACATTCTTTGACGTGTCAGCTTTCTTGTGGTTTTTTTCTTTTTTTTTCTGTATTACATTACGGTGTCAATAGTTCACCTGACTCCTGCCAGGAGTATTTCCTTTTAGTATCGATTCTATTGAGGGATCGAGTTTGAGTATTACATTTATGTTAAAAGTAAACAGCACATAGAAGTTCAAAATTTACCCAACATTCTTTTGATCCCGCAATGAACAAAGTCTTTCTACTAGTATTCATGAACATTCCTACTTTGGGGGGGAGGGGGGAGGTTGGAGAATGTTTGGTTGTATAACGGTAAAAGTTACTTGATTCCCCATAGGGCTCTGCAATATTCTTATGGTCTTCCTCTTTTCATTTGCGGTTAATTGGCAGTCTCCCACTTTTATACTCTGCTTGCAACGACTGATCGCCTCTCTGTTCCCCCTAAAAACCATGTGATTCTTCGCCCCCTCCCCACCAAAAAATACCCTTTACCCTTCTAGGCGATAGATAATTACTGGTATCTCATTCCACCCAGTGAAAATGAAAGCCACATACACATGGTGGCGACAATGCCTCGCTTCATCGTCTGACAGCTGTCGCTCTCTAACAAAACATCAGTTTCGAATTGCTTTAAGTGGTTGCACGAGTTCGTTTGAGAGTCTTATCATTTTTGTTGTATGTATGTGTGTATGTAAGGGGGAGAGGGAGGGGAAAGAAGGGGGAG